GGGCGGGGCGGAGGGAGGGAAGGGGGATTGATTTGAGGGAACCTAGCAGTGGGGCAGATGACAAAGGCGCCAAAACAAAGCGTTGAGACAGCAAGTGGCGTCATTGCTGGCGGTCCTGATGGCACCAACGCTGGCTGTCTTACATGACCCAGGCGCTTCCCAGGCGCCCTGCAATCCCATCCTGCCCCCGAGTAGGCCTGCGAGTGACACAGCTAGCGGGGCAAGGACGCTTTTGGCTTGGCAAGGCAGATGACGCCCCGACGCGCTCTGGCGCTGCCGTCATCGAGGATTTGCCCGGGGACTCCTGCGTTCAATATGGTCAAGTCGACGCACGCACCCAGGGAGCTGAATACTGTTTTGGCCAGCAGCCACAGGGCCTCCCCTGACTTCGGGGTGTAGGCGATAAACAGCTCATCGGGGTCAGACTTGAGCTCGATGACGACGGGCAGCAGGTCACCCGCGTCGCTGCGATCGCGTGTGCAAGGGGTGAAAAAGGCGCACTGTGTTTGAGTGTGTGCGTAGGCATGTGAGATCCAAGGCCCCAGGGCAGATGCCACCAATAGCGCCTATCTCGTGCTGCCTTGAGTGCGCTGTACATCGGCCGCAGGTGACCATCATCACACCTACACAGGCATATACAAAGGAGTCTACACAAGTCAAACGCGACAGGGACCTATCGTCCAATGCGCATGTATCTGCGTTCAGCACTGGACTCTTGCTTTCTGCAAGGGGTTGCTGCCCGCGACATCTGGTCACTAGCATCCGCGGACACGCAGGCGCACCTGAGGTGGAGCAGCACGCGGCCGGCGTGCAGTGCGCGGTCCTGGTATGCGTCCCGCACGCGCGCCAGGTAGGGCAGCAGGGCGTCAGGGGCGTAGTCCACATAGAAGAGCCTGGGCTGGCCGGGGGCGGCGGCGAGCTCTTCCAGGGACTTGCCCTCGAGCTGGCCTGAGGGTGACATGTGTGCAGCATTATGGAGAAATTTGAGTGTGAAGGGGGCATGAGCGAGCGCAGGGCAGGGAGGCACATGCGCGGGGGAGCCCAGGTGTCATTTCAGGCAACTGTGTAGCGGGTGCAGGTTGGAGGGCTGCACACAAACACACAATGGCAGTGTTCATGAGCAAAAAGGTGAGGGCTGACCGCTGTGCCTGTCCTGCTACCTGGATATGACATGGTGCAAGGGCGTTGGCGATGGTGCTGTGGAAGATAATAACATGGAGGTTGCCGCTCTATTCATGGTCATGCGGAATCCAGGCAACGCACCGCCGTAATCGTCCCTGACGGCCTTGAAGAGCGTGCTGCCCTTTGCCTCCAGGGCGCTGATGTCATCCTTGCTCGTGATCGCCACAATGCCCACAGGGTTCTGGCCGGCTAGAATCTGGGTGAACGTGCATGGAGGGCGGGAACACAGGGGCAGACCGTTGTATGAGTTTGGCTCAAGGGGCTTTTTATTGGAGCAACACCTCCGACTGGTGTTATGCGCAGACGAGCGTCGTGTCGGCCATCACAGCGGCGCTGGCCCATCAATAGCCGGCCGCTCCTCCTCGGCATGTGCGTCCGGCTGACATGGCACAACGGGCGTTTTGCCGGTTTGGGGTGCATGCGTAGTTGCGCCTTGGCACCCCCATCCTCCTCACCCCCTCCCCGCACCTGGCGCCCAAACTCCCTGTCTGTCTTCCACGCCCCCTCCCGCCCCGCCTCCACAACCGGCACGGGCCATGTGAGAGTCTTGATCAAGGACCGCAGGAATTCCACGATCTGCGTCACCAGATCGGACGGCAGCAGCTCCCCTGCCACGGCGCTGCCCTCCGCCCACGTCATGGGCGTCCCTGCCGATGAGGCGCCGGCGCCGGGCGCGAGCGGCTCTGGCGCCAGGGCCCCAGCGCGGATAGCTTCTTTCAGGAGCTTGATCAGCAGGTGCAGCTCCGCCAGGGCCGCCTCCTCGTCTTCGTCGGCTGCGAGGCCCGAGGCTGCGTAGCCGCAGAGGTGGGGCGCGTGGGGAGCAACACGTTTGCGCAAGGGCAGCATGCACGTTCAAGGAAGACCTGCACGACATTTCTGTCGCGCTGGGAAAGCCGATACCAGTGCAATGAGTAACTGGCGGGCTCGCCCCGCAGCATTGAATGCGTGGGGGAAGGGGGGGCGTTGGGGTGCGTCAAGAAACAAAATTTCTGCACACGCAGAAACAAAGCATCTGCACAAGCATCTTGTTGTCCTGCCCGTCAGCACATTCACTAATATGATAACGTACCGGCGTCCGTGGCATGTGATCGGAGGTCGTCCAGGGCAAGGATCATGGCATTACTGTCCTGAAGGGCGTCCAGAAGCTGCTGAGTCACGGGCACGTCCTCGCCCACAAAGGCAGCTGCGCCAGGCGCCTTGAAGCGGCCGGCTGCCAGTGAGAGAGGGGCACACGAAAAGTGGGTAGCAGCCGATTTTGGAGCGGATGTGCATGGAATTGTACGATAGTTTGGCTGCTGCAGCAGAGCGCATTCGATAGTTGTGTATCCATTTAAAATTGCTCGGCGAGGCCCTTATCGCCCAATAAGCCCTTGCTTTGCGCGCGCGCACTGCAGCTCGCCACCACATTGGTCCCCCCTGGCTGCCAACACTGTCGCAGATGCCGCATAAGCTGGGGCCCGTTGCTGGTACCGGATCAAGCTTGCAAACAAAATGGATTCGCTGTCCCATTCTGGGCTTGCAACACAACACCGCCGGTGCTGACGATTACCAACCCAAGAGGGTCGGGTCAAGTCGAGGCGCCCTCACTGGTGTACAGCGCGTCGATCTCGTCCAGGCTCTCAAAATGCTCCTGAACATTGGGGAATTGCTTGATGCGGCCCAACAGGGCGATCAGAAGGAACACGATGAGCTTGACGGACCCAAGCAGGTGGTGGTGGTGGTGGTGGTGGTGTGTGTGTGTGTGTATG